TGCCGGGCAGCGCAGGGCAGGGCTGACCCGGGAGGGGAGAGGCGGCTCACAGCGCTGCCCTGTGCTCTCCTGGCGGGGACGAGGCTGACTGACTGCACGGGGGGGTTCTCTGGAGCGTAGGAGCCCACGCTGTGGAAAGTGCCTGAGACAGGAGGCCGGGCGGCTGTAGAAGAGCCTGCTTTGTTTGAACTCACCCGACCGGTCCGAAGAGACCCTGGTGGACGATGGTGATGCACAGATGGTCCTGAGGGATGGGCCTGCGCCAGCACCCGGGCTCTCGGGGCCTGAGAGGCTGCAGGGATTGAGGGCCTGCTTGGCTGGGGCAATCCCGGAGGGGCCCCTGGAGGAGGGGACCTTTGCACGGGGATCTATAGGACTGGGACGAGGAGGAGCCACTGTGTGGAGTGGGGGAAAGTGCATCGCAGGCCCTGGGGTGGCAAAGAGCCTGGCACGTTCCAGAAGCCAGAGGTGGCAGAGGGCTGGCACAGCGCCGTGCGTTCCCCGTGGTTGCCACTAACATTCCTGTACTGAGCGCTTGCTGGGGCCAGAGGTTAAGTCGTTACCAGGTGGTGTTTTCAGGAAACCTTTGCCACTTGTTCCATATCACAGAGTTCAGTCAGAGATTCACTTCTCCGGTCACAGGGTGTCCCCCCTGCAAAGCCTTCCGGGTCTTCCCTGCTCCCGCAACCCGCAGTGGACTTGCCTGCTTTCTGACCCCCTCCACCCCCCAGCGGGAGCTCTGTGGGGGCGGGGCCTGGTCTGCTAGGGTCAGTGTCCCCGGACCTGCTCCACAGGTGAAGGGAGGAGAGAGCGGAGCATGCGTGGGTCACAGCCCTCCCATGCCCTGCAGTCCTCCTCCAAGCCGCCGCGTGCCTCCGAGCACCCCTCCTGTCCCTGGGCACAGAGGTGCCCTGTTCCTGTACCCCCTGGGCACCATGGCCCAGGGCAAGTTCAGCGGGTTGGAGCTGCTCCCACTGTTAAATGTTAGGAACCCTTCATGCTGGTGTGAGACCCAGCCATTGCAGGAAAGTCAGTTCCGTAAACTTGGGCAGAGTCAATTGTATTTAAAGCAAAGGTACAAATACTCAAAACTCACCCCCCCACACACTCCTTTACGTCTTCCACCGCCTCTGCTGTGGATGCGACTGCACCGCCCTGTCTGTTTGTAGAACGTTCTGTAACCCAGTGCCAGGGGCCTCCCAACTCTGCTGGAAACTGAGGGCGCTGGGAGCCTGGGGTGGGGCTGGCATCCGCCCAGGTCTGCGGAGTGAGGAGGAGTTGCCTGGCAGGTGAGGAGGGGCTGGCCGGCCAAGCAGAGGAAGAATGGGTCACAGGCGACCTGCTCCTACCCACCTCCGCCTCTGTTCCCTGAGCTGCCCCTCCCACTGGCTGTTTTCAGAGACCACAGCTGAGCTCCAGTCCCTCAGAGCAGCTGCGTGGGGGTGGAGCCAGGTGCCAGGGGGCGGAGCCAGCTTCAGGGGGTGGAGCGAGCTGCACAGGGGCGGAGCCAAGATGGAATCCTGGGCTGTGTGGTCCTGGGTTGGAGGTCTTTGCAGGACACTGCCCTGGAGGGCCACCTGTAGGCAGACTCCCCAGCAGAGCCTGCAGGCCATGCCATGGGGGCCGGTGCACCCCGGGAGTGGGCCATCCCAGAATGAGGCTGACCAGCCCCTCTGCAAAGGCACCACGCCCCGGGCTTCCTTCCTGCTGGCTCAGGAAGGCGCTGGGCTGTGCCTGGCCTTGGTGAGACCCAGGGGGTGAGAGGGCAGGGCCGCCCTCCTCCTGGGGAGCCTTCAGGAGCCAGGGGTCAGGGGTCATCTGTGTCCTGCTGCTCCAGCGAGCACATGGGGCGGCGACAAGAGCCCTGGATGGAGCAGGGGTGACTCTGCCTCGTGACCGTGAGCGAGTTTATCTTGAGCCAGTTTCCCAGCAACCAAGGGGAGGGCCCCTCACCCCATCACCCATCCCAGCGGGAGGCAGGGCACCCGGCCAGGTGAGGCGGACAGGGGACCACAGAGCCGGAGCCGGAGGGGGGAACAGGTCCCTCCTCACTGACCCTCCCCAGCGCACAGCCCACAGGCCTAGCTCTGTCCTTATGGATGTGGGGACAGGACCAGGCCAGGGCGGCCCCTGCTGGCCGGGGATTTGGTCTTAGCCCCACGGCCCCGAACCTCGCTTTCCTCGGCTGCTCTGGGAGGCGTGCGCCGCTGAACCTGTTCTGGTAGGTTTCAGGGCCTTGCGCTTCTCAGATCTGACCAGCACCCCGTCCTTGTGACCGGCCTGCAGGGACCCCCTGCTGCGCCCGCCCTCCCTCCCTGCGGGCCCACCTGCCTTCCCTGCTGTGGAGTGGCTCCTGCAGGTGGGGGCAGGTGGGGGAGCACCCCGTCGGCAGGGTAAGGATCACTAAGGGTCCCGGCTGGCCCTGGCTCGCCAGCCCACCCCTGAGCGGGCGCCGTAGACCCCCCGGGGCAGGAAAGGAGGGCACCTCCGCCTCTCCGAGGCCTGGCCCTGCTTCCTGAGCTGCCCCGCCCACGGCTGTTCTCAGGCGCCAGGACAGAGGTCTTGCTCTTGTTCATACGTGTGAACTGCCCCCAGCGGCACCCGGGCCGGGTCCCTGCGTCGAACCCCAGCGGGTACTTGCTGGGCCCGTGGGAACCATGCCCCTTTCTCCCGCCCTTTCATGTCTCCACTGTCCCTGGGGGGACTGTGATGAGGCCGGGACACGGCGCTGCTGTCTGCAATGACAGTCCCGTCTCTGTGGGTGGGCGGCTTCCTCCGCCTCCAGGAAGCCCCCACCACAGCACCCTGCCCGGCAGCTCGGGACCCATCTTTCTGCTGCTCCTTCAGGTTCGCAGCAGCAGGCCCTGGCCCTTCCCGGCAGAGACCGAGGCCAGCCTGCTGGGGCGGGGTATGCGCCGGGGCGGGGTATGCACCTGGGTGTCTCTGTGTGTGTTCCTGTTGCGTGTCCCTGTGTATGTTCTGTAGGTGCGTGTCTGTGTCTATTTGTGTGTCTCTATGACTGTGTGTGTGTGACTGTGTGTGTCTATGTGACTGTGGCTGTGTGTGTGTGTCTGTGACTGTGTGTGTGTCTCTGTGACTGTGTGAGTGTTTCTGTGACTGTGTCTGTGACTGTGTGTGTGATTTGTGTGAGTGTCTGTGACTGCCTTTCGGTGGGTGGGACTGTGTGGGTGTCTCTGTGACTGTGTCTGTGACTGTGTGTGTGAATCTCTGACTGTGTGTGTCTCTGTGAGTGTGTGTGTGTGCATGTGCGTGTGACTGTGTGTCTCTGTGTGTGTGTGAGACTGTGTCTCTGTGACTGTGTGTGACTGTGTCTGTGACTGTGTGTGTGATTGTGTGTGAGTGTCTGTGACTGTGTGTGGCTATATGACTGTGTGGGTGTCTCTGTGACTGTCTCTGTGACTGTGTCTGTGACTGTGTGTGTGATTGTGTGTGAGTGTCTGTGACTGTGTGTGGCTATATGACTGTGTGGGTGTCTCTGTGACTGTCTCTGTGACTGTGTCTGTGACTGTGTGTGTGATTGTGTGTGAGTGTCTGTGACTGTGTGTGGCTATATGACTGTGTGGGTGTCTCTGTGACTGTCTCTGTGACTGTGTCTGTGACTGTGTGTGTGATTGTGTGTGAGTGTGTGACTGTGTGTGGCTATATGACTGTGTGGGTGTCTCTGTGACTGTCTCTGTGACTGTGTCTGTGACTGTGTGTGTGATTGTGTGTGAGTGTCTGTGACTGTGTGTGGCTATATGACTGTGTGGGTGTCTCTGTGACTGTCTCTGCGACTGTGTGTGTCTCTGTGAGTGTGTGTGTGTGTGCGTGTGTGTGTGCACGTGCACTGAGAACTCTGGGCTCAGATTCGATTAGGAGGGACTTTTGTGACTCAGGACGCAGAGGCTGGGGGACAGGGAGGCTTCAAAATCAGGTCCGGGCTTCGTTGCTCACTCTCCACGCCTCAGCCTCCTTGTCTGTGAAATGGGCACGGTAAACCCCTGCCCCTCCTCAGACGGCACTGTGGGCACAGAGCGCCGCGAGCCTGTGCGCTAGTCCCTGGCCCAGCTGCTTCGGGCAGGAGGGCGTCCCAGTCCCGGTGCGCTGTGACCTGGGCTCCCAGTGGGAGCTGCGTGACCGAGTCTCTTTCCTCCAGGCTCTCGGCAGCAGGGCGGGCGTGACAGGGAGGCAGGGGGACCCGGGACCGAGGCCCACGCGGCGGCCCCACGCGCAGCAGCCCTGCCTCTGGCGGCCCGCCCGGTCCCCCCGCCACCCTCCCGCCCGCGTGCTGAGATGCTCACGCTCCCCTGGGGTTTCCTTTTCTTTGAAGAGACACCTGTCGCCCGCGGAGTTCCAGGAGGTGTTCGGGATGAGCGTGGAGGAGTTCGACCGCCTGGCGCTCTGGAAGAGGAACGACCTCAAGAAGAAGGCCCTGCTGTTCTGAGGCCGCACCCACCCTGCGCCGAGGCCGCACTCCCTCCTGTTGCGCTGCCTCCAGCTCCTCTGTGCCCACAAGGCGGGCGGGCGCCTGGGCGGGCAGGGCACCGATGGTGGGGCGTGCACCTGAGATCCTGCCTGTAGTTTAGGGCCCTGGCGCCTGGCTTTGCACCGCCCCTTCCCCGCTGTGCTGGGCCCCAGCGAGATGCTGCAGAGTGGCTGTCCCCGGGGAGGGAGGGGCGACAGCAGCCCGCCATCAGAGGGCTCCAGTGTCCGCTGGCCCCGGAGGGCACTGGCTTGTGCCCCCAGCCCCGGGGCCCAGGGCGGTGCCAAGTGTGGGGTGATGAGTGTTGCCGCTGGTGGTGGCACAGGGCCCTCCTCCGGGCCCTCGCACGCACGGTTCTCCCATGTCAGCCCGATGCCTAAAGGATATCTTTAAAGTAACACAAAGCTTTATTTTACTAAGAAGTGTAGCCTGTGGGCCCTGAGGCGATGTTATGGAGCGTTAAGTTTGCAGCCCGCTGGGGGCTCCGGCCTCAGCCCCGCCCCACCGCGCCCTGTGGTCTCTGTCCTCCGTGTCCCTAGTACATGCACTCCTCGTCTGTTTTCTTTTTGCTTCTCTTTCTTTCCTGCCTGTCACAC